TACCAGAAAACTAGGGCTGGGGACTTGGTCTGATTCAGGCCAGTCCCTTATTAGTTTTAGTTCAATATTGGAATGTAATAAGGCACTAAAAGATTAGACAGCAATTAACAAAAGGAGGTTTAATTAGCCATCACATAGAAATGATATTCAATAAGGATTCTCAAATACTTAGTTGGGTTAGCCATGACCACTTTATCTACAGGAAATACATCTGGTCAGCAGGGCAATGTGTGGTGACTCACACGGAGTTTAATACCTGCCATGTCTGAAGGACCTAAATCCATGTGGGTGGGCCTTTTTATGCTCTTGCTTGACATGGAAGCCTCATCAGATGGCCAGAAACTGCCAGGAAGCTACCGCAAGGGAGGTACAACTTGAGCCTAGGCTCACTGGACCAATCAAGTACCAGAAACAGCTTTGTCACCTTTTAGAGGGAGGAAAACTAGCCCAACCCATGTTGAGGGGAACTCTGGTAAATATTGGTCTTATCACATGTACAGACCTTGAGTGTTCATCCTGTTATCCCTCATTCTCAGATAAACTACTAGATCATCTCCTTGTCAGATTATAATGGTCTTGTTGATATCTTCAAAACACTCCTTGAATTCAAGTAATTGTGGGAAATGTGTGGCAGAGTCCACATTTTCACCTTTCATGTTCAGTTACTTTAAATTTGATTCTTCTTATACAGTCATAGTATTCCATAAAATCTTGACATGTAGCATCCCTGGGAAAATATTGGTATTAAAAAATGAATGTTTTCAGTGAGATGCAACTTGAAATTATTGAAAAGGCCACACAGGTTATCCAATGGACCACATCCCGCTATACTCCAGTTCCACTCTGAGCCCTTCTCATGGTCCATGTATAGTGCCTACCCAAGAGAATTGGATATTATGATGTAGCTCAATTGGATGCCCATCAAATTTCCTGCTATAATCTGCTCATTAAACAGACTTCATCTTCTTGTATTTTCCTTTGTGGATTGCTAAGTCAATATCTTTCAAGTGTCTTTTAAGGAGGCTATGTAATATTCTAGGTTGCAAAACAGCAACAGAAGCATTTAGAGGACTTTAGCATCTATAGGGAGGTCTTTCTGCTAGCTGGACTTTTCAACAATCATCCTGTTTGACCTAGTGAACACCTTTGCAAGAATATGTCTCTCCATTTCATATTAATATTAATGATCAAGTCATTTAACAGGGACTCTAGTTTACAGAGGGCTGCAGTTATTTCTGTATTTCTCAATCAGGATATCTTGTGATGAATTTTGACGTGTGTATGTGTGGCATGTTGTTGGAGAAGACTCTAGGTTTTGTCCTCTACTGACTTCAGATAGTTTTCTGAAATCAATAAGCAATGAGCTCAACAGAACCCAAATCTATCTGTCTCCTTAGTGTCTGACTGGGAAAATGTGGCGTGCTGTAGAAAATGATCTGTGAAAATATCAATGATCTCTTCTCTTGTTTTCATCAAGTTTCCCCTTAATACCTGAACTGACCTTTTCCATAAGTATCTCATAGAAGAGAAAAGAAAGCGTATGAGTCAGCAGTTGCTGACTTCTTTCTATTCTAAGTAATCGCTGATATCCTCAGGTTCTACTTCTAGAGAGTGGAAGCATTGTGTCAATTAAGAGGCTGTTGTAACAGACAAAATGAGAAGTGATGAGTGGTGATTGTGAGCAGAGAGGAAGGGACAGATGCAAGATGGCGTGGAAGTAGAATTGATAAGACTTGACAACTCATTTTCATTTGGGGGGGCTGGAGCACTAATGAGGAGTCCGAGATGATTCTGAGGTTGCAGATCTCCATGCAACGTCAAGAGAATGAGAAGGTCCCATTGGATTGGACTCCCTGTACTAGAATAGGAGAGACTTGGTCAAGAATCATACAGAATGGGAAGGCATAGATGGCTTGCAAACAGCCTAAATGGAGGGAGGATTCACATCCGTAAGATCACACATACATTTCAGGGTTTCAGGAAACACCTATAGCACCTCCTACGCAGGACTGCCGTGAAGATCAAGCAAGATAATGTGTTAAGTGTTTCTGTAATCTTTAAAGCAGGTATTATTGTTATTATATATTTCAAGCCATAACACTTTTGTGAAGTGATTAATTGCCCCCAAAAAATAGTGGTTCATTTTTAGTGGTTTAATTAAAAAAAATGCTCATTCACTGGACAGTATATAAGAACACCATGCATTCATTGAACTAACATTTACTGAGAATATAATCTTCAGTTCACGTATTAAGCACATATTAAGTAACATTCTGGACACTGTGCTGAGTTCAAGAGTTACAGAAAACCAAAATGAAAACAATCTCTACCATCAAGGAGCTTAGATTCTCCTGGGATGTATACTACATAGCTAGATAAGTCATTATAAGGTATATAGTCCATAATAAATTAATAAAAGGATTTGTTCGGTGAAGTTTGGATTCAGTCAAAGGGCACACTTGAGGACCTAGAGCGTCACATGTGGCCTGGAGGCTGCAGGTTCCCCAATCCTTGTATATACCAAGTAATGCAATGTCATTTCAAGAGGAAGAGAGCCCTAATAGCTGGGGGGAGAGGGAGGAAAAAGAGGCATCCTGTAGGAGATGGCACCTGAGCTTTGCTTGAAGGAAGATGAGAATTCTAAAAGGTCAGGGTGAGGAAGGAAGGTTTACATTTCAGAGATGAGCATTATATTGTCCTGAGATATGAAGAATATAGGAAGACTTAAGATGTGGGCTCTGAACTGAGGGCACTTACAAGCTAAATAGGAAAAGAAAGCATATACAGATAGAATGTGGTAGGTGATGCTGTATATGTGGAGCAACTACACCTGGGTCATACACTCAGCACTATCACAAACTAGCATTTCCCTCAATCTTATCTATGAAAGATGGGGATTAGATTGTTGAAAAGTCTGTGACTCGCTATTAACAATAAAATCATGCAAAAGTAACAGATGAGTGACATAGATAAGGTTTTGTTGTTCAGTCATTTGTCAGTTGTGTCTCACTCTTCATGACCCCATTTGAAGTTTTCTTAGCAAAGATACTAGGGTGGTTTGCCATTTCCTTCTTCAGCTTATTTTACAGATGAGGAAACTGAGGCAAACAGGGTTAAGTAAGTGCCTTGCCCAGGGTCACACAGCTAGTAATTGTCTGAGACCAAATTTGAACTCAGAAAGGGATTTCCTGATTCTAGGCCCAGAATGTTATCCACTGTGCCACCTGGCTGCTCTTTAGATAGTATTTATCTATAGGAATTCCCTGGAAGAATGCGTGAAACATAGAATCATGGGATAATAGATTAAGAGCTAAAAGGTACCTTGGAGGCCATTGAGGCCAACCCTCTTATTTTACAAATGAGGAAAGTGAGGCACAGAGAGGATAAGGCACTTATCCAGGCTCATAAGTTAGTAAATATCAAAAGAAGCATTTAAATTCAAGTGTTTCTTCCTGATTCCAAATTGGTGCTCTAGGAACTATCCCACGTAGGCAGAAAAAAGGAAGAATTTAGATTGGGAAATGATCTTTCATTTCTTGGTCATCAACTATGTTGGTGTATCCTTGTTATATAATATTCATTTTCTTTTTTTTTTGTCATTATGTGTCATGAGAAGTATGGTAGCTTAGTGGATAGAGGGCTAATCTTGGAGTCTGAAAAATCTGGTTTCAATTTCTGCCTCAAATGGACTCTAGCTGTGTAACCATGGGTTATACCAAGCTGCATTTGTGGAGCGAATTTCCACACTGGGAATTTGCTACCTGAATGATATAGAGGGAAAGACAGGGAATGCTAGCAGGAACTGTGTCTTCTTCTTCAGCACCAGCAGAAGATAAGTAATGGTTAGATTAAATAGGTAAAGAGATGTAAGAGCATCAGATAGAAGGTCTGATTCAGTGATCACAAACAATTAATTGTCTTTATGACTTTTTTTTTTGGTAAGGCAATTGGGGTTAAGTGACTTGCCCAGAGTCACATAGCTAGTGAGTGTTATGTCTGAGGTTGGATTTGAACTCAGGTCCTCCTGACTCCAGGGCCGGTGGTCTATCCACTGCGCCACCTAGCTGCCGCTCTTTATGACTTCTAAGGAGCAGCAAGATGATGCGGTGGGTAGAGTGCTAGGCCTGGAGTCAGAAAGAGTCATCTTCCTGAGTTCAAATCTGGCAGCAGATGCTTACTAGCTGTATGACCCTAGGCAAGTCACTTAACCCTGTTTGCCTTAGTTTCCTTATCTGTAAAATGAGCTGGAGAAAGAAATGACAAACCACTCCAGTATCTTTGCCAAGAGAACCCCAAATAGGGTCATGAAAAGTCAGGCATGACTGAAATAGTTGAACAACAAATGACCTCTAAGGTCCTTTCCAACTCTCTTTATGATCTTATGATTTATTCCAAGAAAGTAACTTTACTTCCCCTTACTGACCACAACATCAAGCCTCTTATTCTAATTTTTATTCTGTTCTTGTTGCTAATGCTCCAGTGACCACTCAACATAAAAATGGGCCAGATATGCGTAGGTCACAGAAAGAATAATTGTCCTTGCCTTTTGGTTCAAATTCCCGCCCTGCCCCAACTACCTGTGTGACCTTGGAGAAGTCATTAGTTTCCCCCATCTATAAAATGTAAAAGCATCTGTAAAACTACTGGATTGGTCTAGCTGATAGAGATTTCCAGCTTTAAATCTATAATCCCATGCTCTTATAAACCCATTTAGACCTCAGTTTCTTCATCAGTAAAGGGGTGTTGGACGGGATGACTTCAAAGATTTCTTCCAGTTCTAAATCTATGATTCTGTGATCTCTTAAACTCAGTAGTTTGGGCATTAATAGTCATAGCCTGGCTGGTAGATTTGGAGATGTGAGAGGAAATATAACTGTTTTCCATCAGATATCTGTTACCCAATTATCTCACTGACAATATACCCTTTAATCTGTCTACCTATATAGACTTTCATTCAATCTCACTTGCCGAATGCTAACTTCTCTGTATTTTCTCTTAAGGTTACCTCTGCCTCCTGGAGCATTTTCGGGGCTCTGGAAAAACCAGGAAGCCTTCAAGCATTTGTATTTTGAAAAGTTTCCGGTAAGAACTTTTAAGATACTGTCTCAGATGACTCTGCTCCTCATCAAACTTGCTCACAAAAAGGAAAAGGTAAAAGTAACTTGTCCATAAAATCTTAGAGCAGAAAGGAAATTTAAGAGGCCATGCGATGTTGTTCCCTGCTTGAAGGGACGTGCATTGCTCAAATTGTTACGTAGCCTGGGTTGGCATTTATCTTAATTTTAACCATTTGGGGGGTTGGTGGTTTGACTACCTCCCTAGATGGCCCATTTTAGAGTTAGTTGAATCATTTTTCCTTATTTTCTCACAGCGAGGAAGTCTCATTTGTTGCATTTAATGTTATTTCTTCTTTTAGTGACTCTTCAGAGGGGAAGAACTTTGCACTTGGATTAACAAAAATTAAAAAACAAAAATAAAAAAGTCATTGTTTCGTGGTCAGTCTTCTACCTCTTCACACTTAGGGAAGATAGTTATCAGAGAAACACATTCTATTGCTGAGACTTTATTTGAAGCAATTCTAGCTTGGTTGATTTACTATCTACCGGCATAGAATTTTGGGATTCTGTGCCATGATGAGGCATCAGAGTAGAACAAGAGTAGATTAAACTGTGTGATATCTTTCAAATATTAACATAGAAAAAGTCTAATTTTAAATCAAGAAAGAATCTGCCAATCAAGTGTTGTGTGCTACTGATGGATAGTGAAACAATACTTTCCCATTAGGAAAATAAATTGGGTTCATAAACTATGTAGCTCACTGTGTTAACTCAACTTGGATATATCCTAGAAACTTTTAATTTATTACTAGATGTTCAAAGACCAAACAGAATCTGGCAAGCTTTGAAATTAATTGAAAAAAACAAACAAACAAACAAACAACTCAGTATCCTCATAACACCTAAGATTGGATGCAGCCATTTCTTTTATACTTTACAATGTTCTGAATTTAAATGTTAATATATTAACTAAATGACAGAGAAAATGTATTTGTTTTAATCTTGTGGGGTCTTGTGTTTACAGGGTTATTATGATACTATGGATGCTGGTTTCATGGATGAAGATGGCTATTTGTATGTTATGTCTCGAGTTGATGATGTAATCAATGTGTCTGGTCACAGAATTTCAGCGAGTGCCATAGAGGAGGTATTAAAGAATACTGGATATTGAATTCTTTTCCTAAAGGTGAATGAGAATAGGGATAGGAATATGACCAGATATTGAATAGGAAACTCCTGAGTGATGCAGAATTCTCTATAGATAGATGTTGGCACCTTCTTTTCAAATTATGGTCTTCTAGAGTTGCCTAGAGCAATGAGAGGTTTAGTGACTTGCCCAGGTCACACAGACAGTGTTTATTAGAGGCAGGATTGGAGTACAGGTCTTCCTGATTCCAAGACCAGCTCTCTGTTGACTACACCATGTTCTCTCTGTGAAGTAGATGATAAGATATGAATGAAATTCTGGTCAGCAAAAATATGAGTATTCATTGTCTGTGACACTTTGCTAAGTCTGTGAGGCGGAGGGGGGGAATCCTGGCTCTGCTAAGATTTAGTTCATTTCAATTATCTGTGCATTTAATAATCCATCTGTGAAATGGAGATAATACTGTTTACATTCCATACAGCTTTTTGGAAGAAAGTATTTTGTATACCTCAAAGTGTTAATACATTTTTTTTGTCCATGTCTATCATCTTAGATATCATTCTTAGATGATGTTCCAAATATGTCACCTCTCTCTATTCATACAGATGGGCAACTCACATGTAACCTAGTTTCAGAGTTGCTTGGGGCCTAGGAGATTTACTCTTTTTTCTTTTTTTTTGGCTAGGCAATGGTATTAAGTGACTTGCCCAGTGTCACACAGCTAGTAAGTGTTATGTGTCTGAGGCCGGATTTGAACTCAGGTCCTCCTGAATCCAGGGCTGGTGCTCTATCCACTGTACTACCTAGCTGCCCCGAGGGGATTCACTCTTGCTCATGGTCACCTAGCTAGCATATGTCAGAGGCAACATTTAAACCCAGTTTCTTCCTGATTCCAAGCCTGGTTCTTTATCCATTATACTTACATACATTATATCCAATATACATATATATATATATATATATATATATATATATAAAAATATGTATTCCTCTCATATATAAGTTCATGATTTATTATAATTGCTAGTATCATTATTAAGAGAGGTAACATGATACAGTAAATAGGACACAGTCAGAAGGATCTGAGTTCAAATTTTGCATTAGTCATTAATGAGTTTTGTAGCCCTGGGTGTATAGATTGACCTCCTTGTGCCTTAGTCTATTCATCTGTTAAAAATTGTGGTGGGGATGGCAGGAATGGGCTTGATGGCTTTTAAGGTCCTTTTCAGCTTAAAATCAATGACACTAGGATTATTTTCTTCTGGTCTTGACCCAGGATGGATGGATGGATGGATGGATAGATGAAAAAGAATTTGTTAATCACATACTATATACCAAGTACTTGGCTAAGGAATTAGGATACAAATACAAAAAATAAGGAAGTCTCTAAGTCTTAAGGAGTTAATATTCTACATTTTATATTTTCATTCTGAATATTAACAAGAGAGAACATTTACTATATAAACAGAACAGAAAAATAAGATTATATGTGAAAATGTGAAACTTTATTGTATACATTTTGTGTTTTTAAACATTAGAAATTAATAGGATCTCATGCTGTAATGGAGGAGACACAATATATAAGGGAATGGGAATTTTGGTCTAGGTAATCTCTGAGGAAAGTACAAAAGTTATTCATGGGCATGGAACAAACTACCATTTAAATGGGAGAAAATATTTAATAGCACAATTAAAGCTTCAGTGAGATCAGCAAAAACAGAATTAGAGGTTCAGCTAATCTCCTCCCCTAATTAAATGATAGCCACCTCCTGTAAAGTGGGGATTTATCTTCATTTACGGCACACTAGAGTTTATCAGCCTTGCTTCTGTATACTTAGCTGTCTCCGTGTGGCAACCAATTCTCTCATGCTCCACTGACAGGAAGGCATTTCATTAAATATTTTGGTAGATATGACCCATGTGTACTATTATTATAGTGTCACCATTTAAACTTGGCTTTCCCTTTGGTGAAACTTGGAAATTGAAATTCACGCCTTGAGTATTTTGGTTGACTTGTCAGAAAGGGACCTCTTCCTGCCTGAACTCTTCATTTCTTGCCTCTTTAAGGTGACTTCCTATTTCTATGTACATTTCTGATAATCAAAATTAATTTAAACTATAGCTATTTAATATACTCAGCATTTGCCACCAATCAGAATGCAATAATTCTACTTTATTGGGGGGAGGTATGAAAATAATAATGGCAGCCAAGTATAAGGCGTAGTCTGCTTGAAAATATTGTAGTTGACCATGTATGAGTATAGGTAGAGCCGAAGTTATGGAAGATGAAGGGGAAACATAAGAGAGAACTTGAACCCCCAAAGTTGCCAAATTTCTCCCAAGTTTGTAATTCGAGTCTAGCCCAATTACTGACTTTTTTTTGCCTTTTTTTTTGATGAGGCAATCAGGGTTAAGTGACTTGCCCAGGGTCACACAGCTAGTATATATCAAGTTTCTGAGGTAGGATTTGAACTCAGATCCTCCTGGCTCCAAAGTCAGAGCTCTATCTACTGTGCTACCTAGTTGCCCCTCCAATTATTGACATTTAACAAATGAATGTATGTAATATGCTCATGACTTCCAGGATGTCCAATTCACTTACCACCTGCCCCCAAATAAACTAATTATTTTATTTTATTTTATATTTGAGGCAATTGGAGTTAAGTGGCTTGCCCAGGGTCACACAGCTAGTAGATGTCTAAGGTCAGATTTGAACTCATGTCCTTCTGACTACAGGGCCAGTGCTCTATCCACGGTGCCACTTAGCTGCTCTTAACTGATTCCTTTATTTACTGTTGAATACCGGAGCAATCTCTTCCAGGGTTGGGGAACCTGTGGCCATGAGGCTACATGTGGCCCTCTAGGTCCTCAAGTGCAGCCCTTCAAGCAAATTCAAACTTCACAGAACAAATAAAAATCCAATAAAAGGATTTGTTCTGTAAAACTTGGACTCAGTCAAACGGCCGCACCCAAGGACCTAGAAGGCCGCAGGTTCCCCATTCCAACATATTGCGTTTAATGTAACGTTTCCATTGAAATCCTCCTCAAAGGGTAACCAACAGAGCACAGCCTAGTGACGGATCCCCCACCAAAACCAGGCTTTGAGTATGGGTTCAGTGATGGCCTTGGAGTTTTATCATCTGTGCACTAGCCCAGCTGAGATCAGACAGATCATCACCCAGCTCAGTCACAGGGGGGTGATTTTTAAAAATAAATTTTATTGATGCCTTTTTTTTTTGTTATGTCAGAATAATGATTTTAGCCCTTCCCTCTTGTGGCAAAGAAAAGCAATTAGGCAAAAGTATTTCGTTTAGTGACTGCCTCTGGGATTGTATATAACATTCTGTCTTGTCGATTGAGGTAGCATATGTGAAGTGATTTGCAAACCTGAAAGTGTTATATAAATGCTAGTTACATAGTTAGCTAGTTGGCTGTGCTGATGGCAGGGGCAGTAGTAACAGTGGCCCCTTGCTCCGCAAGAGGATGTAAGGGATAAATTATGTGTCATTAGCTATCTTCCTGGACCCTCATTAGCTTTGCAATGACCCAGAGTTCAACTTACCTTTTTTTTTTAAATAATAACATTTTATTGATATTTTTTGTTTTTATATTGCCAGAATTTCCCTCTATCTCTCTCCTTCCCACCTCCCAGAGAGTCATCTCATATAACAAAGGTATTTTTAATAGAAAGATGAGGAAAAAATTAGCAAAACCAAGCAATACATTGGAAATAAAAATCAGAAAATACGTGCAATTTTCCATACTCCTTAATGAACTTTTCATTGATAAGGCTATAGCCCTAGTTCATGTTCTAAAAGCTAGTATTTGTGTAATGCTTTAGAGTTTGCAAAACCTATGTGTTTTTTTTTTTCTTTTCCTGATATCTTTCAGGGAGAAACATGTAATTTTCCACAGTGTGTTGCTTGTTGATGGACTGTTCTGATGCTGCATTCCTCAGTTTTCTCATCTGTAAAATGGGGATAACAATAACACCTACCTCTCCAGGTTATTGTGAGGATCAAGTGAGATAAAAATTGTAAAGTGCTTACTTAGCACAGTGCCTGGCACATAGTAAGTGCTATATAAACATTAGCTCTTACTGTTATTAGTCCTAGATTCAAGTCATGCCATTGGAGCATAGGTTAATAGATTAGACTTGGAAAGAAACTGAGGTCATCTAGCCTAATCCCTTCCTTTTTCAGATGAGGAAACAGAAGACCAAAGGTGTTAAGGGACTCATGCAAGGTCACACAACTAGTAAGTGGTAGAGGAAGTTCCCATGACTCCCAAGGTCAGCCTTCTTCCACAAGTTTCTTATGAATCTCAAAGATTTAGGGAATAGGTGTGGTGATGGACCCTATGTCTGTCATTCAAAAATCAGCCTAATTTCAAAGAGGCTCTGTAGCAGATTGTTCAATGGATAGTGAATTTTTAGGGCTGCAGCAACTCAGTGATTACTTTCCAAGTCGTAGAAGAACTGCTCTCTGTGTTGATGGAGGAACTGTCCATGAAATTATGGGTCCTTGAAATATCAAAGCATACACTTTTACTTAAATTAGGAGAAAATGGACAGAATTCTTCCCATGGAGGGCTTTTATTGCTTTTCCTCAAGAACCACATTCAGTTTGTAGTTCAACCACTGAAGCAAAATGGATTGCTTCCCTGTTTGTAAGTCATGAATCAGAGTAAGGCATGTGGAACCTGAATTGACCTTTGAGAAAGGATCTCTTAGTGGATAGAACCTGGAACTGGAGTTAAGAAGACTTAGGTTCAAATCTCACCTCAGAACCTTATTACTTATGTGACTCTGGGAAAGTCACTTGACTTCTCTTAGCTAAGGCTAAGAGTTTCTTCATCTGTATAATAAGGATAATAATAGCACCTACCTCACAGGATTGTTGTGAGTGTCAAATGAGATTATACATATAAAGTATTTTGAGATCTTAAAGAACCATAGAAATTCTAGGTGTTACCCTGGACAGCCAAGGCATTTGCACTCA